TCATCTATCTATCTATCTATCTATCTATCTATCTATCTATCATCTATCTATCATATATCTATCATGTATGTATCTATCTATCATCTATCTATCATCTATGTATGTATGTATCTATCATCAATCTATCTATCATCTATCTATCATCTATCTATCTATCATCTATGTAATCTTTCTATCTATCATCTATCTATGTAATCATCTTTCTATCTATCTATCTATCTATCTAATCATCTATCTATCTATCTATCTATCTATCTAGCTATCTATGTATCTATCTTTCTATCTATCTATCTGTCTATGTATCTACCTATCTATCTATGTAATCATCTATCTATCTATCTATCTATCTATCTAGCTATCTATGTATCTATCTTTCTATCTATCTATCTGTCTATGTATCTACCTATCTATCTATGTAATCATCTATCTATCTATCTATCTATCTATCTAGCTATCTATGTATCTATCTTTCTATCTATCTATCTGTCTATGTATCTACCTATCTATCTATGTAATCATCTATCTATCTATCTATCTATCTATCTAGCTATCTATGTATCTATCTTTCTATCTATCTATCTGTCTATGTATCTACCTATCTATCTATGTAATCATCTATCTATCTATCTATCTATCTATCTATCTATCTATCTATCTATCATCTATCTATCTATCATCTATGTAATCTTTCTATCTATCATCTATCTATGTAATCATCTATCTATCTATCTATCTATCATCTATCATCTATCTATGTAATCATCTTTCTATCTATCTATCATCTATCTATCGATCATCTATCTATCTATGTAATCATCTATCTATCTATCTATCATCTATCTATTTATCTATCTAATCATCTATCTATCTATCTATCTATCTATCATCTAATCATCTATCTATCTATCATCTATCTATGTCTATCTATCTATCTATCTATCTATCTATCTATCTATCATCTAATCTATCTATGTATCTATGTATCTATCTATATCTACCTACCTACCTACCTATCATCTATCTGCCTAACTATCTGTCATCTATAGTTGCTGGAGATTTAATCTAGAGCTCTGCCATGATAGGTAAGCTGTTTACCACTGAGCTGGATTCCCAGCCAACTCTCCGGTTTTCTGATAATTGCAAGTGGTGCTATTTATTCAGAATTGTCTCGAACAGTTTCTGCTCAAATCTTATATCCATTTCTCAAAAAGGGCCTTGATTTCCTTTTAGTTAGAAATGATATTTAAAGATGTCTAGTGTTCATAGATCAACTGTTAAGTTTTGATTTTCTTCACTGGAAAAAATTAGAAAATAATTTTTTAATGTCCTGAGTTCATAGTGACATTTCCAACTCGATGTCTGTCCTGATGGCGTTGTTTCTTCTCTTACCCACATTTACATTTCCATGTTCAACAACATGAAAATTAGTCACTGTTTTATTTGAAATATAAACATTAAAGTCTCAGAACAATGAAACTAGTATTTCTGCTATTGCTCCATTGTGATTATGGTTATCCAAAACACTTGATGTTATTTTTTAGCTTGCTTATTCCTGACGTGAACCCAGCCAGGAATACAAAGTTGAGTTTGATGACTGACATCACTCAAGATAATTCTCTGCAATTAGATTCACAATTAAGATCATTTGCTTCCATTTACTTCCAAATTTTAGACCCTTTTTAAGAGTGGAGGAATACTTATTACCTGTGCCAGATAAGGGGAGAACAGGAGTTATTTCCAAAGCAACGCCTTGCTAAACAAAGGGAGCGTGGCAACTTTACTTTGGCACCTAGATGTGTGCACGTAGGCTAACACTTAGGGGAAGACAGTTCTCCCAGCATGCATATTTAATGAGCACATCACTAAGCATACTCAGTTTAAGGTAGTTATTGAAGAAGGAAAGATGTAAGACACATTTGGAGGCAAGCTTAGCTTATACACTTGCTTTTTCAACAATAAATTTTATTTTACATCATATGTAAAGGTATCAAAGTAAAATTTACCAAAATTTGTGTTCAGAGAAGTTTGGCTTATCACTGTATTAAAAATTGCATGAAGGTAGGAGGTCTTGTTGGGAAGGTCTTGTTCAGAGGGACTGGGAGGGGGATAGAGAGAATCATGGGGGATATGACACATATGTATGAAGTTGCCAAAGATTAGCTTAAAGGAGTTTAGCTTTTCTGCTCCCTTCTCTCCTACAGATAGCCTTTA